GGGGAAGGAGGGTCACAAAGGCTAGAGTGGACGTCAGCTGGCTTGTCTTCCATGCAGAGACAGTGAGGTGCCATCATCCATCCCCCATTCTGTCACACAAGACGGCTGTATTCCTCCACTGCCTGGTTAACGTGGCTCCGTTTTCCCTGTGGAATGTGGGTCATAGTCCACATGCCACATCCAGGACAGTGGCTTCAGGTAGAGGGTGTGACCCTTCCACACCTGCACCAGACAGTCGTCACCCTGCCCAGGCTTTGTGAGCCTTTGGGTCTATGTGCTGAAGGCTGCTTATGGCTGTGCCCTGGAACTCCATCTGGAGATCTTCCTGGCATTGGAAGCATGCTTGGCCAGTGACAGGGCAGGGTAGAAGGGTCCAGAAACAAGTGCCCTTGATGCCAATAGACCTCAACCCACGATGGGCAGTATCTTACACCCCTCCAGCAGACTCTGAGGCACATACTGCCTCCCAGGGGTCCCTGGGGGATTAAGCACCAGTAGCCAACAGCAGTCAATTCCTTGATTCCATCCCCTCTACTGGCTTTCTCCTTCCTGTCACTCTTCCTGAGATCACCTCCTAAGCTATCCATTTGAATTTGAATCCCTGCCTCGGAATTGGCTTCTGGAGGAAGCAGAGCCAAGACAGTTCTCCCATCAGCTGAGACCCAGGAAGCCCAGTTCCAACCATGGGTATGTTGATCATGTCTCAGGATGCCACAGAGCAACACAAGGAGAGAAGTCTAGACCCTGAGTGAAGGCGGGCAGGAGGAGAACACAGCCCAGAACCGCTACATAAGAAAAAAAACAAACTTCTCTCTTCCAGAAGTCCCAGAATGTGCCGGGGATATTTATCACAACAGCTGTGCCTTATCTTAACCAGCAACCTGCTCAACATCTACTTCCAAGCTGGGTGCAGTTGCTCACACTTGTAACCCCAACACTTTGGGAGGCCGAGGTGAGAGGATTGCCTGAGCTCAGGGGTTCAAGACCAGCCTGGGCAACTTGGCGAGCCCTCCAACTCAAGAAAAAAAAAATAGACTTCCTCTTCTGGTCAGGGTGCCCTGGTTTTCTGCTGAGGAATCACTTTCTCACCACTCTCAGGACAAAGGTAGAGCCAATCTGTTCTCCCTACCCGGGTCACATGGCTCAGGCCTGGGCTGAGAGGGCCACCCCCTCCATCTGTCAGGGCACAGTGATTGGCTGATGGTGGATCCCAAAGCCAAATCCACCTAGGATCTCAGGTCTAAAGAGAAGCCCTCTTGCTGTCCAGAGCCCTGGGTGGCCATCCCAACTCCAGGTGAACCTGCCTTAAAAAGAAGCCACCATGGGAGAAACCAAACTAAGAGATGGAGAGAAAAAGCACGACAATGACAGTACTTAAGTGCACTTAAGCACCAGATCTGGCCACCCTTGAAACTGGAAGCAGCCTAGACTTTTCAGCAAGTACGTTCCCTTTTCTGCTAATGTCACTTTATTTTATTTTTTGAGTCAGAGTCTCACTCTTTCACCCAGGCTGGAGTGCAGTGGCATGCTCAACGGCCACCGTGGCCTCATCCTGCTGGACTCAGGTGATCCATCCGCTTCAGCCTTCCAAATAGCTGGGACTATGCCCGTGCCACCATGTCCGGCTAATTTTTTGATTTATCGTAGAGACAAGGTCTTGCCAAGTTCCCCAGGCTGGTTTCGAACCCATGGGGCTCAGGTAATCCTCTCACCACTGCCTCCCAAAATTCTGGGATTATAAGAATGAGCCACAGCGCCCAGCTGCTAATGTTGCTTTAAACTGGGTTTCTGTCATTTGCAACCAAGAGTTCTGATGAATAAAAATCCAATCCTAAAGAGAACTGCTGCAGAGTTCCCAGTGCACAACAGGCCACATGTCAGCTGCCCCCGCCTGTCACTGAGACATTCCTTTCTAAGAATGCTCATTTTGGTCGTCTTTGTTACCCAGATAACTGAGGAGAAAGCAAACCAATCACCTTCTAGACTCTTTCCTCAGTGGCAAGTGCTGAGGGACGTCATCTACATGCCCTCTGGAGTCTGGGTTGAGCCCTCGGTGCTGGCTGTCCTGGTAGGTTGCACCTGGAGTGCCAGGTTCAACCCCCACCACTGCTGATGCCCAATCATGGCCACATAGGCAGAGGGTGGTGCCACCCTAGCCTAGTCACCCAGAGTGCCAGAACAGGACCTGCATCAGCCCTGCAGGCTGGCCTGACAGCACCTGAGTCTCATGAGAGGTAAAGTTCCCCCAGAGTTGGCCCTGGCCTCATATCCACCTCTGTAGCATCACCTGAGGGTCCCAGTCAACCCCAAGATCTTCTTTTTTTGGTTTTTGAATCAGGGTGTCACTCTGTTGCCCAGGCTGGAGTACAGTGGCATGCTCATGGCCATAGCAGCCTCGACCTGCTGGGCTCAAGCGATCCTTTGGCCTCAACCTCCAAATAGCTGGAGCTACAGGCTCACGTCAGCACACCTGGTTAATTGTTTTTAGAGATGAGGTCTTGCTAAGCCGCCCAGGCTGGTCTTGAGCCCCTAGGCTCAGGTTATCCTCTCGCCTCTGCCTCCCAAAGTGCTGGGATTACAGGTGTGAGCCACCACACCCAGCAAGACCTTCTTTTTCCTCTGAAGATGGGGAAAGTATATCAGCAGGGTTTGGACTGGGCTTGGGGTTCTCAGTCTCCTCCTCTGATGGCCAGTGGACAGGCTCTGCAGTCGCCTCGTCGGCTTGTGGGAAAGGGGCTGTGACCCCTGGGATGCTTGGGGGATGTCCCAGAAGACAGTCGTGCAGTGACAGATGCCTATCTCAGTGCCCAGAAACGGCTTGTTTCCCATCCTTCTGAAAGAAAAGCACCAATTTGGAAAAGAAACTTGATTCAAGCTATAGGATATGCCACTGAAAATGTCCAGATCTTGGCATGATACCCAGCCCACAGTGTGGGAGAAAAGTAAGAAGGTGGACGGAAGGAGGGAGGGGAAGAAAAGGAGAGAGGAAGATGGGGGAGGGAGGACATAAGAAAACAGCCTCCTTATCCAAATGTTCCCTAGTCCAAAGAGTGGCCTGGGCAGTGCCTGGGGTACTAGGAACAGGCAATCAAAGGACAATGAGACGTAGGTGACTGGCACTTCCTGCGACTTGGGCAGCGGCTCAAGGCTTGAAGAAACACCTCTCCAGATCTCGGAATTCCTGGAGGTCAGGGAAGGACCCAAGGAAGCCTCCTCACCCAGCCCCCATAGTCAGCTGCCTCTCTTTTGCCCTCTGAGGGTCTCCGGGTGGGCCTCCACAGTGAGGAGCTGGAGGTAGCCAAGGGTCACTGCACTCAGCAGTCACATGCCTGGGGAGACGCCTGCGGCTGCTGTCCCACCTGCAAGTAAGCAGTGGGCGTTGCTCATGCTCCAGGGTTGGCCTCGCATCTTACCTGCGTGTGGAAGGTAGGGAGAACAGCCTTCAGCTGGAAAGCCAAGACCTCTGCAGACTCCCCAGGGCCATAAAAAGAGGCCAGAGCTGCTGAGTTTCCTGCCAATTCACCCCTGAGTGTCTCTGCCCCACAGGGCACGCTTCTCCAGTCAGTTGTTTGCTCTTCTACCCAATGCTCAAGATTTGCTTCTTCAAACCCACCCCACTAGTGCACAATAACCAACCCCCTATCCCGTAACCCAAAGACATATGTCTTACCACAAGCCCTGAACAGGGAGTTGTAGCTCAATGCTGTTTTACTTTTTATTTTCAACTTATTGCTATTGTTTTTTGAGGCAAGGTCTCACGCTATTGCCTAAGCTGGAGGGCAGTGGCACAATCACAGCTCACTGCAGCCTTGACCTCCAGGGCTCAGAATATCCTTCCACTTCAGCCTCCCAAATAGCTGGGACTATAGGCGTGCACCACCATGCCCAGTAAACATTTTGATTTTTTGTAGAGATGGGATCTATGTTGCCCAGGCTAGTCTTAAACTCCTGGGCTCAAGCAATCCACCTACTTCAGCCTCCCGAAGTGCTGGTTGCTGGGATTACAGGCATATGCCTCTGCACCTGGCCTCTGTTCTGTTGTTTGTTTTTTTTTTTTAATCAGTCTCACTCTTTTCCCAGAGGCTGGAGTGCAGTGGCACAGCCACCGCAGCCTTGACCTGCTGGGTTCAGACAATACTTCCACCTCAGCCTTCCAAGTAGCTGGAACTACAGGTGCACGCTACCATGCCCGGCTTATTTTTTGATTTGCTGTAGAGACTAGGTCTCACCTAGTTGTCCAGGCTGGTCTCAAATCCCTGAGCTCGGGCAGTCCTCTCGCCTCTGCCTCCCAAAGTGCTGAGATTACATGCATGAGCCACCACACCCGGCCTGTGTTCTGTTTTTTATTAATTAATTAATTAATTTATTTATTTATTTTTTGAGTTGGAGTCTCAGCCCATCACCCAGGCTGGAATACAGTGGCATGCTCATGGCTACCCCAGCACTGACCTGCTGGGCTCTGGCAATCCTTCCAAGTAGCTGGAACTACAAGCGCACACTACCATGCCTGGTTTATTTTTTGATTTATTGTAGAGACTAGGTCTCACCAAGTTGCCCAGGCTGGTCTTGAACCCCTGAACTCAGGCAATCCTCTTGCCTCAGCCTCTCAAAGTGCTGGGATTACAGGCTTGAGCCACCGCACCTGGCCTATGTTCTGCTTTTAATTTTTCGTTTTTGTTTTTTTTTTAGTTGGATTCTTACTCTGTCACCCAGGCTGGAGTGCAGTGGCATGCTCATGGCCACCCCAGCATTGACCTGCTGGGTTCCACTGATCCTTCTGACTCAGTCTTCCAAGTAGCCAGAACTACAGGTGTGAGCTACCGTGCCCTGCTAATTTTTTTTTTAATTCTTATTTATTGTAGAGACGAGGTCTTGCCAAGTTGTCCAGGCTCATCTCAAACCCGTGGGCTCAGGCAATCCACTCGCCTCAGCCTCCCAAAGTGCTGGGATCACAGGCTGAGCCACTGAGCCTGGCCTGTGTTCTGTTTTTTAAAGAAAAGTTTCACAAGAACATTTCATTTATTAAAATAACTTCTGTAAACTCTTCCACAATAATACAATTCATTTTTCTTGCTTGCGTAGCATTTCAAGTGGAAGTACTTTTATTTCAAGGCACCATAAAATGATGATCTCTCTAAGACATACCTCTCCCTCCACATGTGAAAATCCTTAAAAAAAAAAAAATACCCGCTCGGTGATCTTGGCCATCAGGCATGTGGAAAACAAACTTTGGTGAGTGCCAGTGACTGTGTTCGATAGGACATGTGTGTTCCTGAGCCTGACGTCACCTCGATCAAGGACAACTTTGGAGCAGACCCCACTGCCAAAGTCCCAAAGGACAGAGAGGTCAGCTGAAGAGCCCACAGGGCGGGGAACCCTCAAAACCAGAAGTCTGTGGCTACGTGCTTCCTTGCCCTCCTCTGCCCTCACTTCCTCTCCTCCTCGTCGCTCAGGCTGGGGTTCTCCTGGGGTGCGGACGTCAGCTTGCCCTGCAAGAGGGCTGCCAGCTTTTTGGATGTCTTTTTGAGGAAGGCGCTACCAGGGTGGGCACTGTGCACATGCAGGTACAAGGCCTCCTGCGTGGGGCCTGTGTAGCCACACTCCTCGCACACGTACAGCTTGTCCCGCCGCTGCTTGTAGGCATACTGCTGTTGTACCCCATGGATCTTCTTCAGGTGGGACTCCAGGGAGCAGCGCTGGGTGAAGGCTTTGTTGCACACGTCGCACTTGTAGGGACGAATGCCTGCAAGGATGAGGGCAGACACGTCATGGGGCAGTCATGGCCAAGCCACAGCCTTCTGACGCTGAAACTGTGAACCATCATCCTGACCTGGTGTTCACGGCAACGCGAGGGAAACCATCAGAGCTGGAGACTAAATGACAAAGTTATCACGACACCCACCCGGGCAAGCCCCAAAGAGGATGCCGACATAGCAAAAAGCATGCCACCCGCCTTGTGGAGGAAGAGGGTTTTTTTTTTTTAATTGAGTCAGAGTCTCACACTGTCACCCAGGCTAGAGGGCAGTGGCACAATCACAGCTCACCACAGCCAACTCCTGGGCTCAGGCGATCTTCCTGCCTCAGCCTCCTGAGTAGCTGGGACTACAGGCACATCCCACTACCCCTGACTAATTTTTAGATTTTTTTGTAGACATGAAGCCTTGCTATGTTGCCCAGGCTGGTCTTGATCTCCTGGGTTAGAGCAAGGAAAGATGAATTTTATCCTTCCAACTTGTAGGCCTCAGTGTTTTCCTTTTATAGTGGGCAGAGAGCACTTGGTTCACCGAAGTCCAATCCTGCCAGACAACACTGGGAGATGGCTCAGAACACATACCTCGGTGTCGTCCTGCCCCTCATGACCGCTCCTGGGTGGCATCTATTCTCCCTCCCTGGCACCTCTGGCCTGGCTTGTGGAGGTAGAGTGGGCTGTAGCAGGAGAACCCGCGGGCAGAGGTGGGCAGGCGGGCAGCTGCAGCTTGGACAGGCGTGCCCAGAACAGGGGCTGAGGACGTGGCAGGGAACAGAGGGCATCTCCTCCCATGATGGAAATCACTACCGGATGTAGGCATTAGTACTGAGCCAACATTTGTGGCTAGGTAAGAGTTTGCTGGTCCATTATATGCCAGGGAGCCCAGCCTGCTCCGAACCCACCCATTCCTGTCTCCATCGTGGGGTATGCAGCCCTGATGGGTGTGGTCAGTGTCAGGTGGGTG